AGGGGGTTCCGCTTGTACTCCCGGGAGTACACGCCGCCTCGAACGTGTTAAAAAAATTGACTGTTGACCGGGGTAGCGTAGGGAGAGGTCAAATCGTTAATAAGACTCTGCGGCAGGTCGCGACAGAGCTCCCTTGAAATGGCTTGTCTTTTGGAGCGTTCTAGGGGTATAAAAACGGGTTACAGTTTCTCCAGCGTTAACGGGACAGAGAGCCAACGTTTGTCCTGTACTTGAATGGGTGTCATGCCCGAGTTGGGGGGCTGGGTGGCCGCTGTAGCGATGGCCACTCTGCATCTCTCGCCGTCTGCACTGCCTTTTGCATGGTAGTCGGGACGAGCAATCAATGACAAAGACATTTTTCCTCCCAACCACCAGCCTGTTCACATCCGTACATGCGATCAAATCCAATATTCTTCCTTTATACTCTTTGTCAATCACTCTTTTCCTCTTACAACTTATACTACAAAAAGTAGTAAACAGATGATTGCTAGGGAAATAGACGCTCTTTTTCTATACCACTCCAAATTAGCGACTTTCAAGAACAAGAATCACTTGGGTGCCCTCCGTCAAAGCGATGGTTCAGCAATAATATTTTTTAAGAAAAAATGGAGAAAAAGATAATTTAGCTTGTAATTTAATTAATTAGGCAATGTAGTTTGATTGTTTCAATTTAAGCTAATGCTCGCCTGTAATTTTTATATTACTGAATATTTAGCGCCTTTTCTAGATCTTCTGTTCTCAGCGGATTTTTATTTTATTTGTCATCAAGAGCTGGCCAAGTGATTTTCAGGTGACACTGACCAAGAAAATCAGGTGCGCTCCACCCCAGGGCTGAGTCGTGGATCAAGCATGCCAGCGCATAAGCGCATACCAACGACTGTCAAAAGTAATTGTGAGTAACTCTGTGATTATTTCTTTTCGTTCATTATTTTATTAGTTTCCACAATGTTGTGTCTTAATGATACCAGTCTTTCTCTGAGCGACCCCAGCGAGTAAATAGACGGATTGGCAGGCACTTTTTGAGCCCGTTTACACTTGCCCTTCACTCGAATAAGCCATTTTTCATTAGCACTCGTGAAGTTATCGATTGCTGAAAAGCGCGATGCGCTTACATTTTTTGGAATGAACACCGTGGAATAATCATGTGAATCAGAAAATCGGCTACTTTTGAAATCATGAAGCATTTTCATAGAGGATAATAAAGGGCAGCTATAGGTGATCGCCGCCGACCGTTTATCGTTGCGTTTATGTGCGATCATCTTCCATTAAATAGCAGTTAATTTGCTGTCGCTTTTTTGGGTTCTGGAATGTAATTAGCTTTTAAAGCGTTAGAGCTTGGGAGCTCCGTATTTGAGAAACAGCCTTAATCTGTGAGTGTACTGGTTAAAATAAGTTACGTTGGACTTAGAGTCCTGCGACATTTTAAGTAACAAGTGACCACTGTTGGTACACACGACAAGTATTTGTCTGCGCTACCGTCGCGAAGTCTGAACGCTGCCTAAGGCGATTTTGCAAACGAATGGCTGCCCTTTATAGCGCCCTATCCTCTGTCTCTTTGCCGGCCCAGTACGCTCACCGTATTCGGCTGCCATCGCAATTCGTCCTAAACAAGTCACATCGACGCTGGTCACTTTTGTATCGCCTTCAGTTTATGCGAGTACGATTCATATTAAAACGGCTTTGCTACATTTGGACATTCGTGAAACACGTACGTGTAGCTAAAGCGGTTGTGACAGCGACGTTCAACGGGAAACTGTCCACAATGCGTGTCAAGTGCTGGTGCCATTGTTAAACGTGTTTCCTTTCGCATTATTTGAGCTCGCTGGTAACCATAGCGTTGATAGGAGGAAAGTCACTGCGGTAAACCCGATTAATGACTCACCACATACGCAGTATCACCTTTCTACTAGGCCTTCATCAGAGCTTGCACGACCGGTTCTGCCCTTTCTAGTGCACCTAGCACTGGCGCTCCCTGATAAGGTTCACCTGTCCTATAGAGACCCCTCCTGCATATCCAGATGCAACGTTGTGCACCGAGTCGCGGCTGGGAATTTTATATGGACTGATTACCATCATTGAAGCGCCTCCTCTGTGAGTATCGCGTCTCAACTCATTGAGAAAACTGTTGAACAAACTTCAGTATTTCTTTGAGGGAGTGGGGACGTCTGTCGTTTGTGCTTCTGGAACAGTCAGGTAGAGGTCACTTGACCCTTGTATCCTGCCATTTCGACTCTTTTTAGTAGCTCATTAGCAGCAGATGTCGCGTGCAGCTTTAGCCATCACGTTTGACTCGCGTAGGGCGCTGCATATATCAATGAGGAATTATGTATAAATTTGCATTTTACCGCTTTTGGTATTAGAGACAGCGACTTACCGAAGACATTAGCAAACTGTGAGTTGCTTCTAGTAACGATCGCTGTCTTCCCATTAGACAACATATACTGGACTCGAAATAAGCTGCTCGGAAAATTCTATTACGAATTCGGTAAAAAAATTCGGCTTTTTTCTTCCTGGATACAACGTGCTCCCTCGATCTACTGTCGAATAGATTCCGCCTTGCCCCTCCAAGGAAATGTGAGATGGTGCGAAACGAGTTTAGGATGAGTCTCACTTGGCGGTAGCGATTCTCCTATGTCCGTCATAAAGCCTAATGGTCAAATCCATTTACGAGCCCGTCTGCTAGAACCCTCAGAAGCGTTACAGATTGGTGGCCATAACTGTTCGTTGGTATTCACTTATACAGTGTAACAGTGGTGAAGACGAAAATGGGATAAGGCAGCGTTCAGAATTCGCGGCTGCAGCGCTTTGGTGGCGCGTTCGGCGCGATCAATGCAGTCGAAAACATGCACATCGAAGCGAACCGAAGCTCAGCTTCGCGAAGTCTGAACGCTGCCTTAAAGACAGCCCCCGCGCTCAAGTAGTACATGGTCGTCCTTCCTTGTGCAAGTAGTACAGCCCCCAAGCTAGAGACTGTCCCACTCTATTCGACTCCACAGCGAGCGAGGAGCGAGCTACAGCCGCTGAAAGTTCTAGTTCTAACGCCCGCTCAGTTGGACCGCCCACTTGCTAGATGCCCTCCGACGGAGGGCCGCTCAGTTGTTCTTTGTTGGGGCGGCGGGCATTAATCGGAATTGCATGTCCTTTTTGCTGACCGCGCTCGTGCCCATGAATAATTCTGCTCTCCTTTATTACATTTTATTAATTGGGAGCACATACAGTCAACTCCAACCCATCTCGCAAGGTAAAGGCGTAAAAATCACGAGCGACCCAATTTTCGTGGTGCAAAAGCTCGACGCACTACTACACTAAAAGATGCACGCTACCGTAACCCTAAATTCGGACGCCGAGTTTTTGAAGTTTCTTTTCCTTTTCAAGAGTTTTTCTTCCGTGTTTTTGTTGTTTTTCGTATTCTTTTCTTTGCATTGGATGATATCCACTACTGGGAGATGTGATAAAGAGATTTGTGAGCCAGGGGTTGCACAGAGACCGCAGGGCGGTGTGACTGTCGGGAGCGATTTTGTTTATGGTGTTCTCGAGGACTCTTTTTGCTTTTTTCTTCTTTGGAATTACTTATCAGCTACTGTTTCATAATTGAAAAGCAGCTATCCATGACACTTTTATCGCGGGAGCTGTCTTTAAACGGCTCATGGAGATGCGCATGAATGGCTGCGCAATTTTATGGTTGCTCAGGGGACGTAGGAATTGCGGATTTTTTGTCACAAGTACTGATCTTACTCAATATCTTATGTGCTTTCTTTTAGCTAACGCTGTTGGTGCAGTCAATGAAGATGACTTCCGAAAAGCCTTTGCTCAGGTCCCAAAATGTGATGTAAGTGACGTCAGCTTTGTTGAATGGTCATGGTCATTTCGTATTTCCTCATAGATTTAATGTTCTCTTTTTATGCAGATATATTCCGTAAGAGAGCTGAATTCGCAGTTGGAATCCATTCGCTCAGTTCTCGAAAATACCCAGTTAGATTGGTCTCAACGAGTTAATTCTGTGAGATTTTCTGTCCTTTTCCACTATCTTTTTCCACCAATGTTCAAGTTTTAATTCCACTAGCTTTAGCTAAAACTTCTACGGTCAATTTTAATAAATGGTGGGATGGATTTTGAAAATGAATTAGTGAATGGCATTCATTCGCTGGAGGATGCTCTTATTACTTCCGTCAAGGACCTTCGATCGCAAGTATGTCGAGAGGCATGCATAACTGTTAGGTGAGATTACTTCGGAATTTGACGCTGATTTCTGCTTTTTTGAAACAGCCTTCTGTAAAATATGACACTCTCGGATGATTTTTTTGAATCTTCATGTTTAGTTTCCTTTGTGAAAAGCTGGGAGCATCCATCGTGCGGTTGTGCGAAGCGCTCCTACCTGCCACAATTCATCTCATTCAGAACAGCGTTAAGATTATGTCATCGTCTGGAGCCAATGCTTGTTTCTTCATAGTCAAGGTGGGTAGCCTCAGCTTTCCCCGATGTACGATGGTCGACACACCTCAAGTTCGACCTCGATTCAGGCTGCGTTCATACTTTGCGTCAGCGTTTTGAGCGCGCGCCAGCGTTCTGGACGTTTGGAGCGACTAGGGCGGTATTGATCTAGCGTATACCAGCGTTTCATGAGCACGCCAGCGTTTTCAGCGCCTGCTCGCCCTCAGAACTGTCCGCGAAAACGCTCAAAACGCAGGTGTACGCTCGAAACGCTGACGCAAAGTATGAGCGCAGCCCATAAATGTCTACTTCCAAGGTTTAGCTCAAAATATGACCATTTCTTGTGAGCACTTCTCTCAATGTTTTTTTTCCAGTACGTGGAGAACCCGAAACTAATACCTATTGTACTCTCCTATGGCTCATCAAAGTCTAAAGAAATACGAAGGTAGGTGCTCTCTACTATTTTAACCCCTTAATTTTTCCATCGGTTGCACTTGTTGACAAGCAAAACTTTATAGGTCCGTACAAGATCTTCTTTCTCAAATCATCGCTGTCTGGACTCCATCAAAGCTGGAAAAGTCTTTGAGTGCAATTGTGGATTGTGTCAAGGTGAGCATTCTCAACGAATTTCATTGCTGTGCCTAATAGGAGGGTGGCGCTAGCTCTCTTGAATGGTAGTCTTGATCTACTCTAGCGATTACTTTAAGAACTTTTTTCATTGCCACACGGCCATGGTGGCGATGAAATTTCCTCTCAAAATGCGGCCCGCTCCACTCTCTTCTCCTCGCTCACCCCCCCCCCGTCCCCAGTAACATGAAGTTATTTTACTGTTGACCGGTCGTGCTGCTCGGTAGGAACACGATCCTTCATTGTTTAATAATCAGTGTTGGTACCGTACCTTGGAGATGCTCAGCGAGGGGGGGGGGGAGGGTCGTGTGGGGTCGCTGCGGGAAGGGGGTCGTAACTGTCTTCGAGAAGAATGCTGTCTATTGAAGACTATTCTTGGTCTTCCCCGTTTGATATGTGCTCAAAGTCCTATGTAAAAGTAGTATTTTTGGATTTCTGATAGTTTAATTCAGAGGTTCTTTTAAGGCAACTTTATCCCCACCCCCTGCCCCGACGGCGGCAGTTTTCTCGAGGACAGCTTAGATAGTTTCGGAAAGCTGGGACAAAATGAGTAAATTGGAATAAAATGGTACGAAGTTTGGGGAAAACTTGGGGAGATGGTAGGTAGGTTCTGAGGGGAGTCATAATTGCGGAGAAAGTTTGAGGGCGGGGCTTGAGAAAAATTTCTACTGCGACGGAACGCTCCTGATTATTCCGTTGTTTCCACTAATTTCTGCTGTAATGTTTGTCAATTGTGGAGTGTAGCACCGTATCAGTGCTAGAAGAAAATTCTTGCCTGATAGCACCAGTGTTCGTTGCTTCAGGACACATCATCGCGGGGATGCCCCCCCCCTTCCCCGCTCGACCTCGAAATTCGGGGGAAATGTAGGAACATTTTTTGGACATTCCGGAAAAAGTGGAAGTTGGGAAAATCTAGGAAGATGGTAGGTAAGATGCGGAATGGGGTCGTATCTCCGGGAATTTCCCCCAGCGGCATGACGTGCCCCGGAAAAGACAACAAACCGAAACCGTAAAAAGGGGAGGGGCGGGTCGTATTATGCCGCCTTTCAGGGGGGGGGGTCGTACGGACTGGAACGAAATTCCCAACTAATGATGTGCACTGGTTGCATTTCTTTGTAAACGATTGGATATTTTTCATAATACCTACCTCAGAGTGCTTGTTCAAGCAAATAATTCACCCGCATCGAGAAAAATGTTGCTTGGAGTTTATTCAACTTTAATCGTGTTATTTGTATTACATAGGGGGGTATTATGGACGCGGATCCACAAGCAAGAACATCGTCGAGGAATGCCTATCAGTTATTGGACCAGCACTATCCGCAGCAAGCGCAGCTTCTGTATCAGGTCTGCAAGGTTCTGCGCTTTTGTTCCAGTAATAAAGTTGGTGAGCTGTTTTCAGAGCTTGGACCCTTCAAAGCAGCGTTCGTTGTCGGGTGTGATGTCAGCCGCGTCATCATCGCAATCTATCAACAGCGAGCGTGATTCACTGCACATGAGCCAAAGGCCAGGCGCGTTCGGAATGAATCGACCCAAAAGTTAGTCGTCCAAATCTCATTCAAGGGAAGGTATATCTATGGTATACTTTTTTTAGCCACAAACTTCTTCGCTGGTCGATCGGCTTCGGAAATCGATGCAAATGCAGTGAGACGAGCAGCTGCATTTACCCCAGCAAAGAGTAAACTCACTGGATCAATGGCAGCAAGAAACACTCCAGGTTAGATCTTGAATATATTCATTCTTTTTTTGAGCGTAATGCGCTAGTAGCGATAATTTCTGGGTTACCGAAATTTCTGTACAATATGGGACTTTCTAAGTCATTGGTTTGGGACCTTTTGGGTTAGGCTGTGTTCATACTATGCGACAGCGTCTACCAGCGCCCACTAGCGTTCCGAGCGTCCGGCAGCGTCAGCGACTAGGAAAGTATAGATATCGATCTAGCGTCTGCCAGCGTCTCCAGCGTTCACCAGCGACCGGGAGTGGAGAGTATGGCGAAGCAGGAGGGTAGCAAACAGCTGGGTTACGCGCCGTGAAGTGGCGTGGAAACGCCACGTACAACTACACTACACCGTACGTTGAATAACATAATTCTGTGCTCTAGCAGGGCACCCGGGCGATTCTATCGTCGGCAAGTCAGGCGACGCCGCACACGCCGCGACGCGGCAATCCCGGAGTTGCATTACCGTACTCCCGAGTTGTCATTGGAGCAACGGCCACAGC